ACCGAAAAAAAGAAGATTTATTCATAACACACGTGAAAAGACCCAGGAAAACCGAGTTAACGATAAAAACGATAACAAAATAACGCTGAAAACTGATAAAAACCATGAAAACCATACATTTCACACCTGAGCTTCAACTCTTGTGGCCCGGTACCAAACGACTCACGGACCGGTACCGGTCCGAGGCCCGGGGGTTGGGGACTGCTGCAGTACAGCATTTAGCTAGTAATAAGTCAGATATTTTCCTCAGGAGGGTTTTGAATCCAAAAACAGCCTAAATGAGAGTTCCAGGAACCAGGTCTTAAACTAGACTCTAAAGTACCTGTTGTTCTATTTTTGCAGCTTGTTGTGGAGTTCAGTGGTAAAATGAATCCAGTTTTTAATTTAGAGTCATCCTAAATGAACATTTTATTAATGAAACGTACTGTGAAAGGTGCTATGACAAAAAATATTTTCTAATTAGACCAAAAATATTTTCTAATTAGCACTATAATTATCTTAATTAAATTTGCTTAATGAACTAGTCGGGATCGCTGGTTATTCTGTATCACTTTTCACTGTGCCTCATGGTTTTGAGCTGAATTTATTCCGTGTGCATTTATTGTAGTTCTTCGTGAGGCTTCCTTGAGTGTTGGTACTTTGCACATCTCTTATTAAGACAAAGATGCAGACACATCCGTTTTCAGATGTCACACACACAAATGGATGTTTCATTTTCACACATTCAGGCATTTCATCAGGATTTTTTGAGTCAGATTTTAGAACATTCACAACAAATAGATCTTTCACCATCTAATCATCATTTTTTCTTGTTCTTTGATTTTTAAATGGTCACTTAGTCTTGAGGAAGAATTTGTTAAATTTTGGTGGTCATAGGTCAAGTTCAGTGTGATCTTACAGAGCATGTTTTTGACTATAATGCGAATACATTCACTTATTACAAGATTTCACACCAATGTCTAATAATATCAAGTAATGAAGTGATGACATTTTGTGTGAAAAAGGTCAACTTCACTGTGTCGTCATAATGTTCCACAAGAGCTCTCGTCAGGCCATAATTCAGCAACATAACTGACACAGAACAGGAGGCTGTGACGTGATCGCACATTTGATGAGATATTGAATTGGTGACACTAATCCTTGGTCCCCACATATTAGATTCTTTGAATTTGAGAGTTGTCACTACATTTATATCTTGTCTAAACTGCAGCCTTACACGCTGGATCTGATTCTAGTTTCATTTGTTGTTCTCTTTCTGTCCCTTGCCTTCTTTTCCTCCCGCTCTTCTTTCAAACCTCTGTAGTGGATCTATGCTGCCCCCTGGTGTTTCAAAGTCATATTGCCTAGAGTTGATCAGCCTGTGTGGATAGGATATGTGTGTGCCTCTGAGAGAGAGATGGATGACTGCCGCTTTCTTTTACATAACAGATCAATGAAAGTCACTTAAATCTGGGAAGGCATTCGGGTCTGGATTGACCACAAATGCACAACTAATAGCTTTGTTGTGGTGCTATAGCTGCAGCTGTTTTACTCCACGCATTTGTTTTTGTCGGTTCATTAACTTGGCTGTTATTGACTTGAGCGTAAAAGCCAAAATGCATAAAATCAAATGATACTACGCCGAAGTTATACAACAAATGCCTGTTTTCATTCATCTTTTGAGCTTTGGAAGTAAATGTGTGCTATAAAAACAGATGACAGTAGTTGGCTGATTTGTTGTCCTGATATTTGATCTCAGTATATAAATTAATCTCAGTATGTAATTGCAAGAGTTTATAATGAGCAATAACAGTTGTAACATATCATTATGTCATTATTATCTGCCGGTGCTTATCCAGAATGTGGCTGCAGCTGCAGCACACTAAGCAAAATAGCCAGCTGGACTGATCCTTGGCCACTTGCACCAGGCTAGAACGGATATACAGTCCCTCCAGCATAAAAAGCCTCTCTAGGGAGGTTAGATGGCGTCTTTTAATGCAAAGGAGCAGCATTACTGCTCTCACTCATCACTCCATAGCCCATGTGAGGAAAACTAATTATGACTTCCTGTGATCTCATTCCTTTTTCACTGCCCAGACCTCACAGGTAACGATGGGATGGTAGATGGGCTCATAAATTATGAGATTTGCTTTGCCTCTCAGCTCCCTCTGTCCCACCTAAGGTACTAGAACCGCTTCACTTGAGGTAGAAACTCTCTTCCAGACTGCAGGGTTGTTTGCCAGCAGAGGACTTCAGTTATAGAGTTGCTTATCCTCATTCCAGCTGTTTCATAATGAGCTACAGAAGGCTATACAGCATGCTGGAGCTCACAGCCAGCAGAACCACACTGACTGCAGCACATCTGCAGAAAAATCTCACATCTTTATTTATGTTTATATTTGCAGTGTGTATGATGTAATAGCTACACTAGAGCTCACGATAGTGTTTGTTTATGATTGTTGTTTTGTAGGTGAAGAGTGTGTTCAACATGACAGCCAAAGAAGGCAGAAAGAGGTCCATCAGCTGCTTGGTCGCAGTGGGAAATGGCAACGGAGCCGCAGGTTTGAATCTCTAAAAAATTAATTAATTAATGAATAAAATCTGGAAGCAACTTATGATGATAAATCCAGTCTATTAAACGTTTTGTCCCTGATAATCATGTTTATTGAAAATGCAAGGTATTATAGTGTGAGGAAGAGAGATAAGAAACATAATTTAACATGTTTTGAATTCTGTAGACATGACACAGAGCCAAAATTGATTTTGACAGTTATTTTAAATCAGCCTCTGCCGATATGGGGAAGTGCAGGAAATGGGTTTGACACTTTTCATCCTCTAGCAGCAGCAAAAAAAAAGGAAAAACTGCTGACGAAACTCTGCATACTTTCCTGAAGCTCGCCTGCACTTAACCTCTTATTATAGAGTGTGTTTTCAAAAACTTCATCATGTTATTGCTCATTAGCATAAAGACTCACAGTCATTAGTTTAATCACACTGGAAAAGCATCACAAGCTGTGATTTCTTCAAGAGAATCTTGTTTAATTTTTAATGAATCATACTATGATGAATTTTACATTTTCTGTTACACTGAGCTTCACACTCTGCACTCAGAGGTGTTTTAAGACCAATGTTCTTTCCTCCTTCCAGGCTTTGCTTTGGGGAAAGCAGCAGACAGGAACACGGCTCTGAGGAAGGTAAGACCACAAACCGTATATCAGTGTAGCTTCAGATGCCGTTTATAGTTTTGGGACAGCTTAAGGTCACATATCCAGCAAGTGTTTTGTTTAATAACTGTCGACTGAGGTTTGATTATTTTCCTCATCTACAATGTCCTGCTAAAAAAATATCTCCTAAACGAAAGATTTTGGAGATGTTACCGCGTCATCTGCTGGACGTCTATAACAGACTTTGTACCAGAAGGTTTTGAAAAGGGTAAGCGACACATGAAAAGATTCAAATTTATGATTGACCTCACACTCTGAAGCCCATTTCACTGAGTAAGCATATACAAGTGACATCAGGGGGTGATGATTGTGTCAGTCCAGACAAGTGGCAAACACTCAGTGTGACAGAATCCACATCAGCATATGCAGAAATCTGATGTTATCATTTTCAGTCTGCGTGTGTGAAGTGGACCTGTGCACGTAGCTATGTGATATCCCCGTGCTGGTGTCATCATAATGATGTTGGTCCAGGATCAACACTGGAGCTGACCAATCACGGTGTTGTAATATTGTGGTTTTGTAAAGTGTTATATATTTATAATTAGTTATATTTCAACAGTGTTTTCTGGGTAA